CGGGCGAAGCGGGGAGCAGAGGCTGGCACAGACCTGGCTCCTGGTGAGCAGCACGACCTCAAAGCCCACGTCCTCAGCCACGGCAGGGACGTGCAGGGGAGCTCGGCGTGGAAAGCAGCCACTGATCTGGGGCTGGAGCCGATGGGAGCTCTGCCTGTGTCTTCTCCAGGCTGCAAGGAACAGAAAAGGCCATTTGCTCACACCCTGGGACTTCCCAGCCACGGCAGGGCTGCAGGGATGGTGCCGCTGTAGCTGCAGCAATTCGGCAGAGGATGGTGTCTCAAACCAAACAGCTCATCCAGGAGCAGCCTGTAGCAACCACGCAGTGACGTGTCTTTGATTTGTTGCAGCCCGACCTGTCCTTTGCGCTCTGGGGAAGTAAAGCAGGGTGCTGGGCAAGGGGAGAGCGTTGCACCCAAGGTCCCGTCTGCCCGTGGTGACCCCGAGAGGCACCATCCCTGTCCCCCTCCGCAGCGCTGGGGTCTGCTTTCCTCCAGCAAAGGGCTCCTGGGCTGGGGGCAGACAGCCTGTGCGGAGTGAACATCCCAGCGCAGCCCCTTCCCTGCTGTCTGGCAGTGATGCAGGACGTGCTGGGGGCTGGGTTTGGACGGGGCAGGGGGGCTGGGGGGGTTTCAGGCATCCTCGGGAGCTCCAAACATTACTGAGGGACGAGGAAGGAGCCAAGCAATGGTCTGCTGGGACCGTGTCTCTCGGTGCCTGCATTCCTAATACCAGGGCTCCTGCATACTTTCTCCTAGACCACAATGGAGCTGCAAAGCACTTCCTTTTACCAGGATATTTATTACTAAATATATGAATCTGGGAGCCTGTGGAGCGTGAAATTAGGAACAAATGTATAAAGGAGGTCTAGACAGGAATTGTTCTGCTTGTGGGCCTCCACATGCTCTGCTTTCCTCCCCCTTTGCACGCTGGGGAGTTTAATGCTTCCAGGTACGCAGCTTTAATCAGACAAGTATGTTATGGGAGGAAAAAAAAGAGCGAAATGCAAATGGTCTTGCTCTGGATGGAGTGGTGGATGCGATGCCACGTCTGTCTGACAGTGACTGGACAGAAACCATGAAAATTGGCTCTGTGCAACCCTCACTGTCCCCCCGGGTTGGGTCGCTGTTTAATTAACGGGCAAGGAAGGCAGGGAGCCCTCCCCAGCTGAGCCCTGCCTGCCAGCTCTCATCTTGGGCTGGCAAGGAGCTTGCTAAGATGCTGATCCTCTCTGATGGATGCAGCAACCATCCCTCAGAGGCTGGGGGGCTGAGCTGGGGCTCCGTCGCAGCCCAATACTGCAAATGGGAGCAGCAAGGACTCACGGATGGGCATTTCCAGCCGGCTCTACCGGGCCAGCACACGCACCCACAGCACCCGGTGCAGCCCGAGGTCTGCAGCTGAGCGCCTCCATCCCTCTTTAAACAGGAACCAAAGTTTCTAAATCACTAATGCACTTTCTTGCAAAACCTTCCCCTGGCTGTGTTCCTCGCCCCTGAGCCTCCTCAGAGTATTTTGTCCGAGGAATGAGGGCAGGATTTGGCCCAGCGCTTGCCCCATGGCCGCGTGGTGCGAGAAGGCATTCAGACATCGTTATAAATTACCTTCCCTCCTACAGCGCTGCTCAGCAGTAACATAAAATGTGATACTGCTTTATCCATTCAGCACTTACCCAACTTTAGCAGGACATTAAGCGCCTGAAAATATGCCACAGATTTATTTTCTTTGGAAGCGAGTTAAATCCCTGACAGATACGGTTGCTTTTCCTCGGGTGCTGAAGTAATTTGGGGCTGGGGTGGCTGGTTTTTTTGTTTTAACCTGATAGCGTGAGCTGGAGGCCAGCTTTGTTAAAACACTTGTAGAGTAGGTGGTCAGGGTACGATTTCTCTCTTAATTTGTGTTGCTTCTATTCCCAGCTTGCGGCACTAAAGTGCTGCTGGAGCTTTAGCTGCGGAGCGATGCTGGGGTTAGTGCCGCTGCCAGCAGGTGTGTGCAGGCAGGTACGCGTCTCCCCAGCATCCTTCCTGTGGGAAGGAGCTTGGTCTTATTCTGCGTGGGATGGAGAGAAATTTAAGCCCTCTCACGAGCTCTCGGGGCAGAGATGCTCAGAGCAAAACCCGTGCTGGCGTTGTGGGGCTCATGCGCTGTGCGTGGTGCACAGCATCTGCCTTCTGGGTGAGCCCAGCAGTGCCAGAAATAGGGACCTTCCACCACTGCTAGTTCTGTGTCAGGTTCCTCTAAGGGGCATTCCAGGGAGAGAAGGGTGCTGATGGGACCCTGAAATGCAAGCGTGGGGCCAGGCTGAGCCCTGGCATCTCCGTGATGTCCAGCGCACTGCATCCCAGCCACAACAGTTGCTGTAGTGGGAATGAACAGCTCGCCCGAGGCTCTCAGAAACATCATCCTGGGGTGCCCCCACTGCCCTCCCCAACTCTGGGGCTTGGTCATGGCAAAGGTGAGGGAATTGGTGCCTCCTGCAGCAGGCGGACACATAGACTCGTAGAATGGTTTGGACTGGAAGGGATCATATAGACCAGCTCTTTCCAACCCCCCTGCCCAGGATGCTCAGAGCCCCGTCCAACCTGGCCTTGAACCCTGCCAGGGAGGGGGCAGCCACAGCTTCTCTGGGCAACCTGGGCCAAGGGCCCACCATGCTCAGAGTAAAGAATTTGTTACCTCAAATCTAAATCCACCCTCTTTCAGTTTAAAACCATTACCCCTTGTCCTATCACTACCCCAGCTCACTGCTCAGGGAGGGGAGAGCGCCCGTCCCTGCAGTCATTAAAGGCTCACTTAGCAGCTCCAGTTATTCCAAATGAAAATACCACGTTGTTTTCATGGGGAAAATGGATTATAGGCTCAGAGAAAAACACGTACAGTTCAGAAATCCTTACTGCAAAGCTCGTTCTCCCATCAGTGAAGCTCCCTGCCACCAGGCAGGAGCCAGGAGGGTGCCCTGGGTGCCCCAGGCTCTGGCCATAAGCCCGATGTGACCCCAAAGCTGCTGCTCACTAAACCTCTCACCCACTGCATGAAGATTTTATCCCCCTGCACCTGCAAGGTGGCATTTGGGGGGGGACGCGTACACCCTGACACCTTTCACAGGCACCCGGTGCCACGATCTGGCCTGATCCTGCCCACCACCTCCCACAGAGCCCTCCCAGTTTCTAGCCCCTTGCAAATGGGGGTGAGCTGAGGGTTTGGGGCTCTGCAGCCCAGCGCACACCCAGCACCCACCGCACCCTGTCACCCCCTGCGCTCGCTTTTGCAGGCTGTTAATGGAGAAGAGGGCGGATGACAGCCGGGACCGTGGTCATCACAGGCGGAATATTAGCGACTGTCATTTTGCTTTGTATCATCGCCGTCCTCTGCTACTGTAGGCTCCAGGTAAGGCTGGGGGATGTGGCCCCAAAGGGTGCTGCAATGGAGAGGGCAGCCCGGTGTCCCCCTGCCTGCCCATCCCCAGGGCTGGCACGCCCGGAGCAGCCCCTCGGTGACCGGGTGGGTGGTTTGGAGTGACAGGGTGGGCGGTCTGGGATGCTGGCTGAGCCCAGGCCCCGCTGGGCCATCCCGTTTCAGTACTACTGCTGCAAGAAGGATGAGTCCGAGGAGGATGAGGAGGAGCCCGACTTCGCCGTGCACTCCCACATCCCGCCGCTCCCCTGCAACCGCAACGTAGTGCTGACCACCGGCCCGTCCCT